TCTTTTGCTCAAGGCTAGCACTCTACCACTTGAGCCACAGCACCACTTCTGGCTTTTTATGTTTATGTGGTACTCAGGAATCGAACCCAGGACTTCATGCACTCTAAGCACTAAGCCACATTCCCAGCCCTGTTTTGTTTCGCTTTGTTTTTACCAGTCCTGGGGCTTGAACTTAGGTCCTGGGAACTGTCCCTGAGCTTCTTCAGCTCTAGGAGAGCATTCCACCACTTGAACCACAGCTCTATTTCTGGCTTTTTTGGAATAGTTTATTGGATATAAGAGTCTTACAGGTTTTCCTGCCTGAATGGCTTAGAACAGCGATCCTCAGATCTCAGCCTCCTAAGTAGTTAGGATTACAGGCATGAGCCACTGGCACCTAGAATAATACCACTACTACTACTACTAGTTATTATCATTATCATTATTATTGTTGGTTGTAAGGCTGAACTTGGGGTCTGGGCACTAAGCTTTTTTGCTCAAAGCTAGCACTCTACCACACGATCCACAATGCTACTTCTGGTTTTCTGGTGGTTAATTGAAGATGAAAGTCTCATGGACTTTCCTGCCCAGGCTGGCTTTGAAATTTGATACTCAGATCTCAGCTTCCTGAGTGGCTCAAATTGCAGGCATGAACCACCAGCACCTTGCCAGAATTAGATTTGGGGGGGGGAGGGGAGGGTCCGGTTGTAGGGCCTGAACTCTGGGCCTGGGCTCTGTCCCTCAGCTCTGCAGCTCAAGGCTAGTGTTCTACCACTTGAGCCACAGCGCCACTTCCAGCTTTTTTCTTTTTTCTTATGTGGTGCTGAGGAATCGAACCCAGGACCTCATGCATGCAAGGCAAGCACTCTACCACTGAGTCATCTTCCTAGCCCCAGAATTCAAATTTTTAAGTGAGCTTTATTGTATAGTCAATTCTGAGGAAAACCCAAAGAGATTTTTATATCATATCTTTTGTTATAAAGAATTGTTTCCACTTACTTGATTTTTCTGGCTACTGATATATTATGATAATAGAAATATCACCAGAGTATTGGAGATACAGTGTGCTTAGAACATGCATGATACACTAGGTTTGATCCCCAGCACCCACTCCCCAAAAGGAAATATCACCCCAGTTTCCCAAGACTGAGTTTGAGAAACTTTTATTCATGCATAGATCAGAATAGACAGATTCAAACCACACCTAAATAGAATCTGATTTCATCTGTTTTAATCAATTTGGAAAGTGCTATTGAAGGTTAAAGGCTTCAGGGTTATGATTTCCATCATCAGATTTCACAGCACATCATTGAGTAAAGACTTTTGGTTATCTGGGCACTGATAACTAATTGCCTATAATCATAGCTACTAAAGGGGCTGAGATCTAGGATCAGGGTTTGAAGGCAACCTGGGAAGAAAACTAAACTTTATTTCTAAGTAACCAGCAAAAAAGCTAGACTAGAGATATAGCTCAAGTGATAAGAGCACTAGCCATGTCTGAGAAAGTTGAGCAAGTTACAAGTCCCTGAGTTTATACCTTGGTACTAGCACACACACGCCAACAAATTTATTATTTTTTTTATTTTTTGCTTTTTGAGTTTTCTGACTGGACTCAGATACTTAAGTGTTAGATGCACATAGAAGATAATGATGATGATAGTGGTGGTGATGATAATAAGGACAGCAGCAACAATGATGGGTTTTATCTGAAATGAATATCAGGACAGGGCTGGGAAGGTGGCTCCCTTGCCTTGCATGCCTGAGGCCCTGGGTTCCATTCCTCAGTACCACATAAACAAAAAGAAAAAAGCCAGAAGTGGTGCTGTGTCTCAAGTAGTAGAGCGCTAGCCTTGAGCTGAAGAGCTGAGGGACAGCGCCCAGGCCCAGAGTTCAGGCCCCACGACCGGACCCAGGAAAAAAAAATGAATATCAGGATAGAGAAGATGTTCCAGAACCAGACATAGTTGGTGGGTAGGGGGAAAGCCCTGAATCAGAAGTATCTGCATTCAGGACAATCCTCCCTTGCCTGATATCTTAATACTTCCTTGTGAAATCAGAGGAGAACTGAGCTACAGATATGCAGAGAGGACTTGACTTGGTAACCTGGTGCCCCTTTCCCCACAGACTCCGATCTCTGCCTCAAGTTCACTACTCTGTGTATTCTTAATGACAAGTGTGACCGGCTGCGCAAGGCCTATGGGATGGCATGCTCTGGACCCCACTGCCAGCGCCACATCTGTCTAGCACAGCTGCGCAACTTCTTCGAGAAAGCTGCAGAGTCCCATGCGCAGGGCCTGCTGCTGTGCCCTTGTGCACCAACTGACAAGAGCTGTGGGGAACGCAGGCGCAACACCATTGCCCCCAGCTGCGCCCTGCCATCAGAGCCCCCCAACTGCCTGGAACTGCAGAGCCGCTGCCTCACTGATGCACTGTGCAGGTGCCAGGTGTGGGCTGGTAGGGTGGGCAGGGACGAGGCATGTGTACCTGTGTCCACCTTGCTCTGGGATGGGCCTAACTTCCCAAAGAACAGTGAATGACTGGTTGCTTTGCCTAGGGTATTTCGTGAAACTCTTCTCTTTAAAACAGTATATGGGGGGCTGGGAAGGTGGCTCAGGGCTTGCCTTACATGCATAAGACCCTGGGTTCAATTCCCCAGCACCATATAAAGCAGAAAGCAGAAAAAGCCAGAAGTGGTGCTGTGGCTCAAGTGGTAGAGTGCTAGCCTTGAGCTGAAAAGCTGAAGGACAGCACCCAGGCCCAGAGTTCATGCCCCACGACCAACCAAAACATAATAATAATAAAACAGTATATGGCCAGTGGCTCATCCCTATAATCCTAGCCACTCAGGAAGCTGAGATCTGAGGATAGTGGTTCCAAGCCATCCTGGGCAGAAAGTTCCATGCGAGTCTTATCACCAGTAAACCACCAAAAAGCCAGGTGGAACTGTTGTTTAAGTAGTGGTAGCTCACTAGCCTTGAGCACAAAGGCTCAGAGACATTAACCTAATCAGGCCCTGAGTTCAAGCTTCAGGACAAGGAAAGAAAGAAAGAAAGAGAGAAAGAAAGAAAGAAAGAAAGGAAGGAAGGAAGAAAGGAAGGAAGGAAGGAAGGAAAGAAGGAAGGAAGGAAGGAAGGAAGAAAAGGAAGGAAGCCAAGTGAGAACATGAGGCCTTGAGTTCAAACCCATATTCTAGAAAAAGGAAAAAAGGATATGTTTTTTTCTGGGCACTCTGGTATGTGCCTGTAATCCCAGCACTGAGGCAGAAGAATGCTTCATCGTAGAACTTCAAGACCATTTTGAGCAATATAGCAAGACTACTTACCTCTCTCCGGGTGTGTGTGTGTGTGTGTGTGTTGGCACAGAGCTTGAACTAGAGATTTGTGCTTGCTCACAGCTGTCCCTCCACTACTTTAGCCACACCTCCAGTTGGGTATTTTGCTGTTTCATTGAGATGGAGACTTTCAGACTTTTCTGCCTAGGTTGGCTACAAAACTTAATCCTCCAGGTGTCAACATCCTTAATAAATAAGATTATAAGTATGAGCCACTGGGGGTCTTGCCCTCCATCACTGTGAAGAAAAAAAATGTGTTTTTTTTCTTCAAGTAAAAACATTAGACAATGTTGGATATAAAAATACTTGATAAGGGCTGGGAATATGGCTTAGTGGTAGAGTTCATGAGGCCTTGGTTCGATTCCTCAGTACCATACAAACAAAAAGATAATTTAAAAATACTTGATATGCTCTGAACTAAACATAATATAGAATATTTACTTCTAGTTAGTTTTCTATCCAGACAACACTAATAGACACACTGGGGTTATGTTTGCATCTTGAGGTCTTTCATTTATGGCACATATCTTGTAAGAAATTTCCCATTCAGGCAGTAAGATAAGTCAAATGAATGTGAATCTAAAGCTGGGTTCGTGTCATCCTGAGCATATTACTTAGCCTCAAATTCCACCATTTTACCTAAGTTTCTATTTAGTTATCTGCAAAAACTGGGATAACAATGTAGATCTCATAGGATTCTGGTCATGGTTAAATTACTTATATAGCATGCTTAGCTTACTAGGGTAGAGTAAGTGCTCAATATGGTCGTACTTAATAAATGATAGTGCTTATTTTGGCATTTATTAACCTTTAAGAACTTGACTTCGATTTTCATTTTTTGCCACCTTGGGCATCAAACCCAGAGCCTCACACATGAGAGGGAAGTGCTCTACCACGAAGCTATTCCTCTAGTCCAGGAAACCTGAGATTTAGATCTGGATTTCCTGTCTTTTCAATACAAAATGCTCCCCACTCAAATGATATTTGTTGATGATAAGAATCACAACAAATGGTAGAGTGCCCAGGCCCTGAACTCAAGTCCCACAAATGACAAAAAAAAGGAGAAAAGAATAAAAATCTAACTGTAGTCTCAAACAAAAAGAGACTTAACTTTTTGTGTGTGTGTGTTAGTCATGGGGCTTGAACTCTGGGCTTGGGTGTTGTCCCTCAGCTGTTCAGCTCAAAGCAACCACTCTACCACTTGAGCCACAGCGCCACTTCTGATTTTCTAGTGGTTTATTGGAGATAAGAGTCTCATGGGCTTTCCTGCCCGGGCTGGCTTTGAACCAGATCTCAGCCTCCTGAGTAGCTAAGATTACAGGTTTGAGCCACTGGTGCCCTGCTCAAGAGACTAAACTTTTTTTTTTGGTCGGTCGTGGGGCCTAAACTCGGCCTGGGCTCTGTCCCTCAGCTCTTCAGCTCAAAGCTAGCACTCTACCACTTGAGCCACAGTGTCACTTCTGGCTTTTTCTGCTTATGTGGTACTGAGGAATTGAGCCCAGGGCCTCATGCATGCAAGGCAAGCACTCTACCACTGAGCCACCTTCCCAGCCTAAGAGACTAAACTTTTAAGGGCTGGGATATAGCTAAGTGGCAAAGTGTTTGTCTTAGCAAGTGCAACATCCTGAGTTTGATCCCTAGTACCAAAAAAAGAAAATGGAAGGAAAGAAGGAAGGGAGAAAGGAAAGAAGGGAGGGAGGGAGGGAGGGAGGGAAGGGAGGAAGGAATCACACCAACTTTGTTTTTTAACTTGATTCTACTGCTACTTATTTTTGACTTTGAGCAAGTTAACCTCTTTGACTAGTACTCTCCTCATCTGTAAGTGTCACTTAATCAGAGCTCTTTATAATCATAATATTAACACTTATTGAGTACTTCCTATTAGGTACTGTTTTAAGTACTTACAGTATATATATTAACTCATCTCAACCATGCAAGAATTCTGTAAGATAGATGATATTATATATATATTATATATAATACATTTTATATAATATATAATATATATCTAATTACTTTCAATTTATAAATGAAGAAAGCACAGCAGAAAGAGGTTGAATAACTTTCCCCAAGTCCATGAGCTAGTCAGTTTGTTAGGTTAGGTTAGGTTTGGAATGCAGGGGTCTGGCTTAGTCTATGCTCTTAACCATTCTGCTGTACTTTCTAGTTATTGCTATTACTGAACAAGTTCTGATATAGATAACTAAGATAACACTGCCTTCAAGGAATTCCTAGTTGAGTGAGGGTGATAGAGAAAAACCATTAACCTAATCAAGGAAAAATAAAATGAAAATTGCAAAAATATATATAGACAACATACCCCTAATTCCATCACCTAAAAGGAAACTGGCTTCACCTATTATAGAATGAAATAGTTAACATAATAATATCCAACATTTGGGGCTAGGAAGTTGGCTCAGTGGTAGAGTGCTTGCCTCGTGTGCATGAGGCCCTGGGTTCGATTCCTCAGTACTACATAAGCAGAAAAAGCTAGAAGTGGCACTATGGCTCAAGTGGTAGGGTGCTAGCCTTGAGCTAAAGAGCTAAGGGACAGGACAGTGCCAAGGCCCAGAGGTCAGGCCCCACAACTGACCAAAAAAAACACCAGAAAAAAAAATCCAACATTTGTTGAATACTTATAGGTGCCAGGCATTATGATGAACACTCTAAATTCATTCTCTGATTTTTATCTTCACAAAAGTCTACCAAGTCAGTCTGTTACCCTTCCTATTTTACAGTCAAGGAAACAGGTGATTATGTGCCCACATTCAGAGTGATAGTGCTCTGAGCTGGGATAGAGGCAGGCTTCCTGAGGAGGAAGCCCTGGACGCAAGGCCTTGCATGCAGAGTTGTCAAGTAGATGGACATGTTGAGCTGAAGGGCAGTAAAGGTGAAGGCCAGACCCTCAATGAGGATTCTTAAAGTTGAAATTACTTTTTGTCCATGTGTATGTGCCAGTACTGGCACGTTATCTCAGGGCCTGGATGTTGTCCCTGAGCTTTTGTGTTCAAGGCTAGCATTCTACCTCTTGAGCCACAACTCCACTTCTAGCTTTTTTTTTGTTGGTCATGGGGCTTGAACTCTGGGCTTGGGAGCTGTCCCTGTGCTCTTCAGCTCAAGGAGAGTGCTCTACCGCTTGAGCCACAGCGCCACTTCTGGTTTTCTAGTGGGTTATTGAAGATAAGAGTCCCACGGACTTTCCTGCCTGGGCTGGCTTTGAACCGAGATCCTCAGATCTCAGCCTCCTGAGTAGCTAGGATTACAGGCGTGAGCCACCAACGCCCGGCTCACTTCTGGCTTTTTGGTAGTTAATTGGAAATAAAAGTCTTGGGGCTGGCGCCATGGCTCATGTCTGTAATCCTACCTACTCAGGAGGCTGAAATTTCAGGATCTCAGTTTGGAGCCAGCCCTGGCAGAAAAGTCCATGAGACTCTTATCTCCAATCAACCACTAGGAAAAAGAAAGAAGTGGCACTGTGGCTCACGTGGTAGAGCACTAACTAGCCGTGAGCACAAAGAGGCTTGGGGACAGTGCCTAGGCCCTAAGTTCAAACCCCAGGACCAGCAAAAAAAAAAAGAGTCTTGGGGATCTTTCCTGCCCTGGCTAACTTTGAATTTTGATTCTCAGATCATGGTGGCATGGGCCACCATTGCTGAGCTACTTATCATCATCATCATCATCATCATCATCATCATCCACATTAGGCTGAGCACTGCTTGTCCATACCTTAAATCCCAGTTATTTAGGAGGCTGAGATCTGAGGATCAAGCTTCAAAGCCAGGCAGGGTAGAAAAGCTCAACAAACTCTTATCTCTAATTAACCAGCAAAATATCAGACTGGAGGCATAGCTCAAGTGGTAAAGCATCAGCCAAATAAATATGAGGCCCTGAGTTTAAGACCTAACATGCCTACACACACATATACTCTCTCTCTTTCTCTTTCTTTCTCTCTTTCTCTCTTTCTTTCTTTCTCTCTCTCTCTCTCTCTCTCTCTTACAAACACACACACACACACACACACACACACAGGAAGAAGAAGAAGAAAAACAGAAAACTCTATTTGAGAAGTTGGGGTAGAGGGTGCCAACAGGAAGGTGAAAGGCGAATGAAAAGGGTGAATGAAAGCCACTGGTGGCTCACTCATGTAATCCTAGCTACTGGAAGTTCAAAGTCATCCCAGGTGGAAAGTCTATGAATCTCTTATCTCTAATTAACCACAAAAAGCTAGAAGTGGAGGTGTGGCTCACATGGTAGAGCACCAGTCTTGAGTGAAAGCTAAGAGACATTGCCCAGGCCCTGAGTTTCAAGCCCCAGTACTGGTACCAGGGGAAAAAAAAAGATGACAGGGCTGAGAATGTGGCTTAGTGATAGAATCTTGCCTAGCATGGATGAAGCCCTGCGTTCGATTCCCCAGTGTCCTATAAACATCAAAGGCTGGAAGTGGCACTGTAGCTCAAGTGGTAGAGTGCTAGCCTTGAGCAAAAGAAACTCAGGGACAGTGCCCAGGCCCTGAGTTCAAGCTCCAGGACTGATAAAAAGAAAAAAGAAAGAAAGAAAAAAAAGATGAATATGGTTCAAAGTCATTTATTTGCATGTATGAAAATAGAATAATAAAATTTGTTAAAATTGTTTTAGGAAATGTGTGAGAGGTAATGGAGACTGAGTTTCATTGGATATATTGAATGCATGTATGAAGATGTTAAAATGATCCCTCCCTTGTACAAGTAATGAACACTAATGAAACAATGAAAAAAATTATTATTATTATTTGTCAGTCCTTGTACAAGTAATGAACACTAATGAAACAATGAAAAAAATTATTATTATTATTTGTCAGTCCTGGGGCTTGAACTCAGGGCCCGGGCACTGTCCTTGGGCTTCTTTTGCTCAAGGCTAGCACTCTACCACTTGAGCCACAGCACCACTACTGGCCTTTTCTGTTTATGTGGTACTGAGGAATTGGAACCCAGGGCTTCATGCATGCTAGGCAAGCACTCAACCACTAGGCCACATTCCCAGAGCGCCACCCCCACCCCCCACCCCCGCCCAAATTATTATCATACATTAGTTACTTTATATGGGTTAGATACATTGTGATATTTTTATACCAACCTCAACTCCTCTATCATTCTCCCTATCTCTCCCTCCTACCTTCTTTTTAAAAAATTAAATTTCTCTTCTTCAGATCACGCCTGATGGATTTCCAGACCCATTGTCATCCTTTGGACATTCTAGGGACTTGTGCAACGGAGCAGTCCAGATGTCTGCGAGCCTACTTGGGGCTCATTGGTGAGGCTGGGGCATGTGTAGGGAACTCATAGATTGATCAGCCCTGAGGATGAGAATGCTCTGGAGAGAACCCAGGCTGGTGTGGTCCTAGATGGGTAGAAGAAATAGAGCTGGGGCCAGACATGGTAGTTCACCCCTGTAGTGGCAGAAAGATCATAGTCAGAGATCGGTAAAAAAAAAAAAGAAAGAAAAGGAAAGGAAAGCCAAGCACTGGTGGCTCATGCCTGTAATCCTAGCTACTCAGGAGGCTGAGATCTGAGGATTGAGGTTCAAAGCCAGCCCAGGCAGAAAAGTCTGTGAGACTCTTATCTCCAATAAACAGCTCAGAAAACCGGAAGTGGTGCTGTGGCTCAAGCAGTAGACCACTCGCCTTGAGCTGAAGAGCTGAGGGACAGCGCCCAGACCCAGAATTCAAGCCCCATGACCGACCCCCCCCCCAAAAAAAAGATTGGGGAGTATGGCTCAAGCGCTTGTCTAGCAAGTGCTAAGTCTTGAGTTCAAATCTTGGTACTGCAGTACACACACAAAGAAAAACTGGGCGCTAAATCTAGGATTAATCTAGGCCCTAACTACTACATTCCCTCTTTACCTCCAGGCACCACCATGACCCCCAACTTTATCAGCAACTTCAACACTAGTGTAGCCTTAAGCTGTACTTGCCGAGGCAGTGGCAACCTGCAGGAAGAGTGTGAACAGCTGGAAAGGTCCTTCTCCCACAATTCCTGCCTTCGTGAGTGTGTTCTCCCTGCTCCTAGCCCCGGTGGCCAGGTCAGCTGGAGCCTGGCCGGGGAGAAGGAGGGGGTGGTTATGGGAAAGGAAGGGGAAGGGTCAATTGTACTGTCCATCTCCACCAACACAGCAGCCCTCTTCTCCATCCCTTATACCAGGGCTTTCTCTTTTCATACTTTTTGAATGATTCCCCTACCCTCACTGCCTGTGTGAGCCCCAGGGACATCTCCAGCCCAAGGGGCACACAGAGACAATATCTCATGCCCACTTTGCACACACTTGCTCCCTTAAATCTTAGGGCCCCATGCCATTCCCTTTCCTACCTTGGGAGTCTGCAAAATCTGCCACCATACCTTTCCCATCTGACTTCTCTCCTCTGCTCAGGGAAAGCCATTGCGACTAAGATGCATTTTCATAGCCAGCTGTTCTCCCAGGACTGGGCACCTCCTACCTTTTCTGTGGTGCAGTACCAGGTAGGACCTTCGTTATTGCAACCTTCAAAATAAGTTTTTTATTGTGAAAATACTGTACAGAGGGGTTACAATCACATGAGCAAGGTAATGAGTACTTTTCTTATCAAGCATTGTTGCCTCCTCCTACCATCCCTTCCTCCCATCTCCACAACTACATTCACCACCACCCCAACACACACCTAAATTGTAAAGTTCGTTTTTTGACATAGCATCTTGTACATCTCATTGTTGCAATGGGCCCCCCTGTATCCCTATTTAAGCAATTTGTTTTTTCCTTTCCGCTCCCCAAATTATACCAACATCAAATACAGTGAAAACAAGGGTTATACCGTGGGGGAGGGAGGAGGGTTGGCTTTCTGTTGCCACACATTTTTGTTGTTTTTTTTTTTTTTTGTCGGTCGTGGGGCTTGAACTCTGGGCCTGGGCGCTGTCCCTCAGCTCTTCAGCTCAAGGCGAGCGCTCTACCACTTGAGCTACAGCGCCACTTCCGGTTTTCTGGTGGTTTATTGGAGATAGGAGTCTCACGGTCTCTCCTGCCCGGGCTGGCTTTGAACCGAGATCCTCAGATCTCAGCCTCCTGAGTAGCTAGGATTACAGGCGTGAGCCACCAGCGCCCGGCTGTTGCCACACATTTTATAGTCCTCTAGTGGACACTGAGGGGAAGAGGGTGAAGATGGTTCCCTGAACTCAGTCTATTCCATTTCTTCCACAGATGGAAAACCTTGCTCTGAGGACACAGGCCAGGGTGCCCTGGCTTTTCTCCTGCACACTTACCCTGGTTCTGCTTCAGAGCCTTTGGTAGCTGGACTTTCTTGAGGTCCTTCTTCCTCTCCACCCCATCCAGTCTGACCTGCAGCCTGTGAGGGGTGAGAAAAGGACAGCCTCCAGAGAGAGGTACAGTGTACAGCCCGTTACCCCTGACTTCCCCTTGGCGACTGCAATTGGATCAAATGACACCACAGTAGAAGCCAGAGGCTACGGCTTTCCGATCCTGATTGGCCAGTTTGAATTTGCTCTTTCTTTACTCTGCTTTTGACTCAGGCTGCCCCTTCTTGGTGACCACATTTTAGCCATATCTTCTAGTGGTGACCAGCTCTCTCTTGATCCGTTCTTCCTTTCCACTAGTATCATTTAGAGTCTAAAAAACCAGCCTATTGCATTCTCCAGATAGGCAGAGCTAGATGTAATGGGAAAGACTATAAAGACATTCCCTTTGTGAAGAAAGCTGGGGCAAGAATCCTGCTCCACTCATCTAGTCCTCTGAATAAAGATAAAAAGGAGCCTGTTGCCTGCAGTCCTCTGCCCTGGGGTCCTGGGGAATAAGTGGACATAAAAAGTTGAAGCCTTTGGGCCTTGCTTTATTCTTCCTACTGTCCTCAAGTCCCCCTGTCTTCTTGGATCATGATTAAAGATTTTGACCTAAAACTTTTTTTTGTGTGTGTGTGTGTTCCTGAGATAGAGTTGGAGGGAAAAAATGAGCTGTTGATCTGGTATCCATTCCAACACTAGCTATTTCTGGGATCCTTCCTAGGATCTACCACAACAGTCAAAAAGGAGCCCTTTTTGTCGACCACAACATTTATTGAGCACCTACTGATGTTACTGATCTGATTGTAATGGGGTCAGAGGAAGGCAGAGGCTTGTCCTCAGTCTCAGGGAATTTAATCCTCTTGAAACAAGGATAAACTTACTTATGCAATGTAGTATGAAGAATGTCTTTATAGAGCTGTGTTTGTTCACTGATTCACTCCTTCAGTAAGCATCTGATGAGTGCTGACTCTGCAAGACACTGTTGGTTGAAGGGGATTCTGAAGTAATAAGACTCAGATCCTGTTCTCACACCTTTCACATGCCAGAGCAGGAAACAAGACAAAAACAATGTAGTATGATAAATGCTATACAATAATTATAAGAGTAACTCATTCATGGAGCCCCTAGAGGCAAAGATTACTACTTGAGAGTACTATTTGAAAGTATATTCATTAACTCATTTAATCTTCCAGCACTTGACTTTGTCAGCAAAGAGCTGTATGACATTGGGTTCTCTAAGCTTTACTAGTCACATGTGCAACACACAAAGCATAGAGCCCATCTCATAAAGAGTAAGGTAAAGCTGGGAGTTGGTGGCTCATACCTGTAATCTTAACTTTTTAGAAGGCTGAGATCTGAGAATCACGATTCAAAGCTACCTGAACAAGAGAGTCTGTGAGACTCTTATCTCCAATTATCCACCAGGAAACTGGAAGTGGAGCTGTGGCTCAAGTGGTAGAGCACTACCTTTGAGCAAAAGAGCTCAGGGACAGTGCCCAGGCCCTTAGTTCATGCCCCACAACTGGCAAAAAAAAAAAAAAAGAATAAGAATGAAGTAAGCTAAGTCAGGAACAGGGGGCTCACATCTATAATCTTAGCTATTCAAGAAATTGAGAGAAAAAGGCAGGCAGAAAAGTTTATTAGACTTCATTTCCAATGCAGCCCACAAAAAGCAGTACTAAAGGTATGACTCAAGTGGTAGAGTACCAGCTGAGCAAGCTTGAGGCCCTGAGTTCAAACCTCAATAACTGCCCCCCAAAATAGGTAAGTTATGTAAAAGCATTGTGCCTAGGAAGAATTGTGCCTAGGAAATTATGTTATGTGATTTTTTTCTTTTTTCTTTTTCTTTTTTTTTTGGTCAGTTGTAGGGCTTGAACTCTGGGCCTGGGCGCTGTCCCTCAGCTCTTCAGCTCAAGGCTAGCGCTCTACCACTTGAGCTACAGTGCCACTTCCTGTTATGTGATTTTTAGAGATGATCTGAAAAAGATGGGCAATTCTAAAGAATTAAAAAATTAAATTAAAACATCTTTAATTTCCCATTCTTAAACTACCAGACTAGGAAGTAGCATCAGGAACAGCAACAGCGCTGTGCTGCTTTGCTTAGCTGCTTGCCAGTTTCTTCAATGGCATCCTGCCTGGCTAAGAAAGTCCATGAAAGTGTTACCTCCAGCTAACCACTCCCCAAAATCCAGAAATGGGTATGTAGGTCAAGTGGCAGAACATTAGTCTTGAGCAGAAGCCAAGCAAAAGTATAAAGCCCCGAGTTAAAGTCCCTGTGCCCACCCCCTCCACACACACACACACACACACACACACACAGCCCAGGGGGCTACATTTGGTGATAGCCTTGCTGGCACAGCCCCAAGATAGTGCAGGAGATCATATAAGAAGCACATATGTATATCTTCTGATTTCTCTATTATGATTATGATTATTATTATTAAGAATAATTTCTTGGATGGGGCTGGGAAGGTGACTGAGTGGGAGAGTGCTTGCCTTGCATGCACGAGGCCTGGGTTTAATTCCTCAGCACCACATAAGCAAAAAGAAAAAAGCCGGAAGTGGCGCTGTGGCTCAAGTGGTAGAGCGCTAGCCTTGAGCTGAAGAGCTGAGGGACAGTGCCCAGGCCCAGAGTTCAGGCCCCATACCGGACCCAAAAAAAAAAAATCAAGAATAATTTCTTGGATTGTTTTCTGCTTAGGCTGTTTGAACCTTGATCCTCATAACTCAGTTGTTAGGATTACAGGTGTGAGCCACCAATGCCAGCTTGGTCTCTCTCTCTCTCTCTTTTTTTTTGGGGGGGGGTGGTCTGGTCGTGGGGCCTGAACTCTGGGCCTGGGTGCTGTCCCTCAGCTCTTCAGTTCAAGGCTAGTGCTCTACCACTTGAGCCACAGCGCCACTTCTGGCTTTTTTTTTTCTTTTTGCTTATGTGGTGCTGAGGAATCGAACCCAGGGCCTCATGCATGCAAGGCAAGTGCTCTACCACTGAGCCACCTTCCCAGCCCCATTGGTCTCTCTCTTATAAAGCCACCAGTATATTCAATCATGAGAGCTCTATCTTGACAGCCTTATCCTAACGCCTTCCAAAAGTCTCACTTCTAAACACCAAAGTTGGATTAAGTTTCTAACTTCTTAATACCACTGAGTAAAAACTGAATTCCAATTTAGTTCCTGGGAAGATATACCATACTCAAACCATAGCACCTCCCCCTCTTATTTAATTTTTTTTTCTGGCAGTACTGGGTTTTTGAACTCAGGACCTTGCACTTGTAAGACAAACATTCTACTCCTTGAGTGCCTTTTTAGTTATCCCTGCCCCCTCCATTTCACATTTTCCCCAGGGATCTGCCTTAGGCTATAACAGCCTCCTACCTATAACTCCCTCGTAGCTGGGGTTAGACATGTACCAGTATGCCCAACTTATCTGTTGAGTCGATCTCTCTCTGTCTCTGTCTCTCTCTGTCTCTCGCTCTCTCTCTGAAAATCATAGGCAAATTTGTTAGGAAAGGAGTTCACTTTCAATAGACTGAAAACTGTTCATCTCCAAGGTGAAAATCACCATCTCTTTTTGTAGTAGTTGACATTGAGCCATAATCCAGTCTTCACCTCCTGAGTTCTGAGTAGCTAAGATTACTGGCATGTGCCACTTTGCCCAGTCTCCCAATTTTCTTTGAGCCAAATTTTAAGGGAAATGAGGAGGAGATGGGGGTAGAATAAGAACTGCCAGAGTGGTGGGTGGAAGAGGCAAGCCTCTCCCTGTTCATTCTTATATCCCCCATAGCCTGCCCAACCCCAGGAAATGTCAGCCAAGCTGCTTCCCTGCAAACTCCAGTGGGGCACTGGGTCCACCCTCCTTCCTCCTCTCCCAGGAAGATCTTAGAGCAGCCAAAGCTTCTCCATTTGCTTGGGCTCCATTAGCCTGGGGCTGGGGGTGTGAATGCTATAGTCATTCCTTGCTAAGTGCTCGAATTAGACTAATAGGTCATTTGTGATTTTCTCTGAAGAAGGTCCAAATTCCTGGTAAACAACCAGACCACTCTCCTAATCCAGGGCCCAGAGCCAAGACCCCTACAAGGGCAGAGTGGCTGGACTGAAGCTTTTAAGGGTATCATGACTGGCTGGAACAGTTAATGCCATTAGACTAGCTTCTGTGTAACAAGGTGGGAAGGGCCACTGGCAGCAGTCAAAAGTGGAAAATGATGAATTACAATCTAGGTGTGGCAGACCTATTCAGTTACTCATTCATTCAACAAACCCTTAATAAGCTCTTGTTCTATTGAAGACCTTGAGTATATTTAGAAGAGAGATATGTCTGTGCCCATTCATTTCAGCTCAGAACTCTGCCAACTCAATCCCAAGTTCAGGTAGTTGAGATTCATGTGTCTTTAAGCTACTATTTCCTCATACACAATGAGGATGTCAATAGATTGCCTAATTTAGGAAGTTGAAGTCTTTGTTTTGCTTTGTTTTAGTAACAAAGGATTACCAATTTAATTTCTGCAAAGGCCCAATTGGCAATATCAAATAATGTATATATCAAATTTAATAGTTTTGATTGGCAATTTTAGCTTCATATTTCTGTAAAAGCATATTAGAATTGCCTCTGTACTTGTTTTGTTCTGCATGTATATTTAACTTATATGACAGTAAAAAATACTTTAAAAAATCTACTCATGGTAAGGCTGGGAATGTGGCTTAGTGGTAGAGTGCCTGCCTGGCATGCATGAAGCCCTGGGTTTGATTCTCTAGTACCATATAAACAGAAAAGGCCGGAAATGGCAGAGGGTCAGAGACAGTGCCCAGGTCCTGAGTTAGTACTGGGGCTTGAACTCAGGTCCTCACACTGTCCCTTAGCTTTTTTGCTCTATCACTTGAGCCACAGCTCCACTTCCGGCTGGTTAATTGGAGATGAGAATCTCTTGGGTAAGAGTCAGCCTGGGCTGTTTCCCAGAGACCTTGTTCCTCAGATCTCAGCCTCCTGTGTAGCTAGGATGATAGGAGTCAGCTACTGGTACTTGACTTTTTGTTATTTTTGTTTTGTTTTGTTTATTACAGTGTTGGGAACCAAAGCACTTACAGCACTGTAAGTACTGTATCACAGGTAGACACCTATAGCCCAAAGTAAGGGTTGTTTGAGGCTGCAAAAGATACTTTACTCTTAGGGTCTTACCAAAGAGCAAGGCAAATGAAAGGGATTAGAATATGTCACCCCAAGCTGGGCATTAGTGGTGCATGCCTGTAATCCTAGCTACTCAAGAGGTTAAGATCTGAGGATGGCAGTTCAAGGCCAGCCTGGGCAGGAAAACCAGAAGTGGCTCAAAGTGGTAGAACACTAAGGGAAAAAGCACTAAGGGAAGCTGGGCGCCCGTGGCTCACGCCTGTAATCCTAGCTATTCAGGAGGCTGAGATCTGAGAATCCTGGTTCAAAGCCAGCCCGAGCAGGAAAGTCCATGAAACTCTTATCTCCAATAAACCACCAGAAAACCGGAAGTGGCGCTGTAGCTCAAGTGGTAGAGCACTTACCTTGTGCT